CTTGTCCTACTAGCAGTAGTAGTGAATTCAAGCTGTTGCCTTATTGGCGTTTGGTTTTTTCCTACCTTCAACACCATTGTATCTAGTTCCCCATATTAAATTCTTTCTACCTGAGTACCTGGAATGACCTCTGCGCTCCTGAGTGAACTTTGACCGATCCAACCAGAAAGCCCTTCTTCTGCGGGATAATGTGTGTTTATTGGGCTATTCCCCCAATAGGAATTTCCATTTGGAGTTATTGGAAGAAGGAGGCCATGGAGGATCACATAGAATTCCACAGTAACTGTTTTCATATTTTTAAAGAGAGTTAGACAGTACTAGGAAAGGCATCAAAGATCACTGGGTAAAGTGGCAGATGGGCTTGTGAGAGGAACAAAAGATTCTGGCTCCTACACTGGAAATAGGGAAAGACACCTTACAATAGGCAACCTGTGCCAGACACCACTGGGTACCAGAAGTACATGATTTTGTAAGGAGTGTAAAAGCCAGTGATGCAGGCAAGGAATAAAATGAACTATGACTTGGAACACACTAGGGAAATATGGGAATAGACTGTCTCACACACAGGAACACAACAGAACTACATCAGCTTAGAGGGTCATTGCCTTGAGGTGGTTCATGAGAGAAGGCTGAGAATTTGAAGTCACTGTTATGAAGCTCTCCCACACTACTTATATCCTTACCATGGCTGCTATTTTAGCTCCTGCAGGTGGCAGAGGGCTTCCCAACCTGATTACAAATTCTCCATCGTAGGAAGGAGAAGTCCTAAAATCAGGTCCAACCATCTCTTCATTTGTAATGTGTCTCACACTAACCAGGCTGGTCCTGGGTCTCCTTTCCCACAGATTCACCATGTATCTTTTCCATCACCTGCTCGCTATTGTGGAAGAAGGAGGCTGATCCCACCAGGATGGATTTTCCAGCATCCCACATTATCTTGCTTCTGAATAGGTTTGGCCCATGGGAGCCACTACTAAGAGACCAGAGAGTGACAGGAAGGAAAAAATTAATAGTATTTCTCCCTGACTTTTACCCCTTCTCCATTTTGGGCAGCACTCCTGCCATGGCTGTGTTTTCTTGTTGGTTGCAGCTCTTTCTTGCAGTGCTTCTATCTTTCACCATGTGATTCCAGTCTTTAAGCATCAGTAAAACCACCTCTTTCCTCTGTCCTTCCGGCCAGCGGGTGGTAGAGGATTCTAACTGTTACTAATTCCCGGGTTGCCTTTTGTACCTAGTGTGGCTTCCAGAGCTTCCATCATCTGAGTAACTAATTTCTCGCATTGTATTTTTTCTGTTTCAAATACTCAAGTGGTTTGTAATCCCTAGTTTGACCTTGACGGATACAGTAACACTATTTAGATGTTACAAAGGCCAAAGAGAATTAAGCCAAGTAAGTAAGTAACAGGCAACTACAGTTCTTGACCTCAGATCCAAAAAGCTAGGTTTATACATTTTCCCTGAAGTTGAAAATGTATACATGGCTAATTTTCTACCTTCAGTCTCCCAAGCCAGAAAGCATCAAAACAAGAAGTTATCAGAAAATTTTATAATATTAGGGTTTTCTCTTCCTATATATGAGAATTAAAAGAATTAAAATCTATTTTTTATTACTACTTCTCTATTTTATGAGTAAGGGCATGGTAGAAGTTCAAGGTTTAGAGCACTTAGGTAGCTGTGGCTCTATGCTGCTCAGCAGGTTAGATTTTAAGGTTTCAAATCTTTGGACACCTATTCAAAAAGAGAATATCGCTTGTGTCCACTCTGTCTTGCTTAGCACAGATTTCTGCTTGACTGACTTCCAATAGCAGAACAAATCCCTAGCCGATGAAAAAAACCTCATGTAAACTCATCATAAGGTCTTGATCACCTAGCAGAGAGAAGATGAAGAAACTTCCAGTCTACAATGATATGAAACACTTTTTTTGTGTGTAAAGCTCTGGGAATGGAGGGATGGAGAGAAAAATGGAAGATAGAACGTTGGGAGAAAAGCAAGCAAGTGTTGTAGAGAGTCTCAAATGACCATGCTGCATGACTAAATGCAGAAATAATAAAAGAAGTAGGCATCTTGTGGTGTGAGCCCAATCAAAGATGGTAGGTATCAGAAACCCATCAGCTTCATCTGCAAGAAGACTAAAGGAAACTCCAAGATAAGCTCAGGATCTTCCCTTAACAAGAGCACCCGAGTTCCTTTCACTATTGTGAGCACTAAGAATTAAGGTCATTGGAGAACTTCACCCATGCAAAGAATCCTTCTCTGACTTGAGAAAAGATGGATCATGAGCTTTTGGGAAACAGATTTGAAGTTCCAGGTTGGATCCAACCCAACCAATTGGGAACAGTGAGGGTAGAAACAGGAGGAAGGATAAAGCTGGTAATTCAGTGTTCAAAGCATGGACTTTGCAGATTCCCCAACTGCCTGTAGAATGGGATGAGAGGTGGAGGATAAAGCTACTAGCTAGGAGTAAGTAGTTTCCTTCCCATAACTCGGTTGTGGGCTAAGCATAAAGCATTTTTCTACCTTTTGGAAAGTGTTCTAAGAGTCTTGTTGGTTAGAGAGCAATTTAAGAGATATCTGAAATAATACCAATTTATCCCAGTCTCATAGTCTGAATGTGGTACTAATTGTGGTGGGGTTGAGAATTTCAAGATTAGAATGTGTGTGGAACACAGAAACACTAAATAAGATTGGTGATTACACCAGCTTCAGGTTTAAAATGTATAAGAATACCTGACAGAGGAGACAGAAGTTCCCAGCATCAGCTGTATAAGTACTGGATATTACAGGCGACCCTCGCCGAGTAAGATAAAGATACTGTTCTGAGTCAATGTTAGGTCTTTCCAGTGTGCCCTTCAGCAAGCGTGGCTAAAACTACCCCTGGGGAGTCATCGGGTGTGCTTCATCCCAGTGAGGATTGTGGGACGCCAGTTGTAGCTGGGTCTAGGAGAAATTTCTTACCCCAACATCTGGTGGCACCACACTGATGTTCATTGAAGAATTATAAAGTATTTTATCAGTGATTACACTGTTACAGCTAAACTGCCTACAATGTGTATTTTAAAATACAGAATTCTCCAGGTTGTTTTTTCTATATGGAAACCACTAGGAGTAGCCTCAGAAATACAGGTGTCCTCAAAACCATTTGAAGAGAAATGCAGGAAAACCAAGAAACCAGAATTGATGCTAGTGAATATTCTATTGGGAATTTTTTGCCTTAAAGTAAGCTACTGTGTTTAAGTGTTTAGAATTCACCTCGCAAAATATGTATGGATAACAATCTCTCCTGTATATCCTTACTAATGTTAAGATGAACATTATGAAGCAGCGTAATGAATGATCATGTCTGAACCTTTTACTGATCAGAGTTAAGCAGTAGAGATGCAGACATGCTGTCTGGTAAGTCCCATCACCTGACCACTGACACTACATCTAACAGATGTTTGAGAGGGGCTTCTACCTCTGGAGACCACATAGCCTGAGCGCCCTCCGTAGGCTTCAAGCCTTCTCTTGCTATCTCAGATGGTCCAGAGGGGCCATATAGAACTTAGTGAGATAATTTGGAGCTATATATAGTCAACAGCAGAGGAAAAGAGATGGTCAGATGGTAAGACCAGTTTCAGAAGTTGTAAGAATAGAATTGCAAATGGTAAGAATTTCATGAATGCTATAGGGTACTAAGGAACCCTGCAAATTGTTGAAGTGCTTGGTACTGAACCAAAACACACTCTCCCATACTTGGGAAGGTCATGTACAGTAGAGCAAATTAAGTTGTGGTTTTGTCCAAAATGGTAAAGGACATAAGCAAAATGGACACTTACTCTTGAATTCATTAGAAATCACAGACTACCAAAGTAACCTAATTGGAGGTAATTGAGACAAAATAAAATAAAATAAAATAAAATAATTAAAACACAGAAATAGTATGCATTGACTTTTTAAAAATTTTCATAAATTTTAACTTTTTAAATTTAATTCAATTTTTAAAATTATGCAGTAAAATTGATTTTTACTTTTTTTCTTTTGGTATATAGTAATACGAGTTTTAATATATATATATAGATTAATAAACACCACAATCAAAATTCAGAAAAGTTCCATCATCTCAAAAAAGTTGCTCACACTACCTCTTTGTAGTCACACTTTCCAGTCATACCTAATCTCTGGCAGCCTCTAATCTGTTCTCTATCCTTATAGTCTTCTCTTTATGAGATTTTAATATCAATAGTATTATATAATATGTAATCTTTGAGACTGACTTTTTTTCATTCAACAGAATGCCTTTAAGATACATTCAAGCTCTGTGGTGCGGAGAGGCCCTGCCGAGGGGCGAGAACGGGGTTGGTTGCGGAGAGAACTCTGCCAGGGCTGAACGGGGTTGGTGGGGACGGGCCTCGCCGAGGGGCGCAGAACAGTGGGCCTCTCCGCCCGAACCCGCCCTCTGCTTCCTCCTCCCGCCTCCCCTTCCTCCGACTCGCCCTGGGGAGGGTGGTGGGGATCAGCCGGTGGGCGGAGTAACTGTCGCTTCAGCCAGGCTGCGGAGCGGACGGACGCGCCTGGTGCCCCGGGGAGGGGCGCCACCAGGGGAGGAGGAGGAGGAGGAGAAGAAGGCGGAGAGGAAGAGACGCCCCTCTGCCCTAAATCCTTCCAGGCCCTGACCTCAGGAGCCAGGGCACTGACAGGACAGGAGAGCCAAGTTTCTCCACTTGGGCTGCCCGAAGAGGCCGCGACCCTGGAGGGCCCTGAGCCCACCGCACCAGGGGCCCCAGCAGCACCCCGGGGGCCTAAAGCGACAGTCTCAAGGGCCATCGCAAGGTTTCCAGTTGCCTAGACAACAGGCCCGGGGTCAGAACAACAACCCTTCCAGCCACCTGCCTCAACTGCTGCCCCAGGCACCAGTCCCAGTCCCTGCGCGCCAGCCAGCCCAGGTGACATGCCGGTCCCCAGGCCCAAGCCCTGGCGGGGAGCACGCTGAAGACGAGGCCGTGCCCTGGCCTCGCGGCCTATGGAGCCTGTGGTGCGCCTCAGGCGCCAGTGCCTGGCCCCGGCCAGGGGTTCTCAGGCGCCCGCCAAGGAGTCCACGCAGGAGGCCTCCGGGGCCAAGGCCGGCATGAACCGGGTATTCCTGCAGCGGCTTCTGTGGCTCCTGCGGCTGTCCCCCTGGTCTCAGGCCGAGACGGGGCTGCTGGCCCTGCACTCGGCCGCCCTGGTGAGCCGCACCTTCCTGTCGGTGTATGTGGCCCGCCTGGGACGGAAGGCTGGTCTCACGACGGGCGGGCGAGTGACCTGCTGGCTCTTTGGGCTGGCAGCTGCTACAATGGCTCTCATCGCCCTCCCTGCTACCTTACAACAGTGCCACCATACCTGGAGTGGGCCAGTTGGCCCTGTCGCTCCGCAGAGCCGTCTGCGCCCATGCCTACCGCCTCTACTTCTCCCAGCATTCTACCATCAAGTCAGCTAACACGGGACGGCGGCTTCGTAACCTCTGGACCAGCCCCTGAGCCAGAGGACGGGTGGCCTTGGGCGCCCTGTGGCCCACCTCTACTCCAACCCACCCGCCACTCCTGGACGGGCCGACTCCTACACCCTGCTTCCAGGTGGCCCGCCTCCTGTGGGGCCGGTGAGGCCTGGCCTCACACGCTGGCCTCGTGGTGTTCCTCACGGCAACGCGCGGCCTTCTCACCAAGTTTGGGGAGCTGGTGGCAGAGGAGGCGCGCGGAAGGGGAGCTGTTACACACTTTGTGGTGGCAACTCTGGAGGAGATCGCTTTCTTGGGGCCAGACGAGGTGGAGCTGGCGCTGCTACAGCACTCCTACCAGGACCTGGCCTCGCAGATCAACCTCATCCTTCTGGAACGCTCTGTATGTCATGCTGGAGCAGTTCCTCATGGCTGGTGTGTGGAGCCACCCAGGCCTGCTCATGGTGGCTGTCCTCATCACCACAACTGGTTATCAGAGTCAGCTGCAGAGGCCGTGGAAGGCTGCAGCCTTGGAAAAGAAGGAGGAGGAGCTGGTGAGTGAGCGCACAGAAGCCTTCACTATTGCCCCAACCTCCTGACAGCGGCTGCAGATGCCATTGAGCTGGGACTGGGCGTCGTCAGCATGCTGGAGGTGGATGAGCTTAAGGCTTAGCATACCCAGGTGCACCAGATGTTCAGGTGTTTAGTGAGATGTCTGAAATGTCACCAAGAGCCCATGAGCTGAGACCATGGGCCTGGGACCATGAAATGATCTGGTGTCCACAGAGGCCTCTGAAGACCCAGGCCAGGCAGATGCATGGTGGACACTGAGAACATCCCCATCATCACGCCCTCAGGAGAGGTGGTGGTGGCCAGCCTCAACATCAGGGTGGAGGAAGGCATGCATCTGCTCATCACGGGCCCCAACGGCTGCGGCAAGAGCTCCCTGTTCCGGATCCTGGGTGGGCTCTGGCCCACGTACGGCGGTGTGCTCTACAAGCCCCCACCCCAGCGCATGTTCTACATCCCGCAGAGGCCCTATATGTCTGTGGGCTCCCTGCGTGACCAGGTGATCTACCCGGACTCAGTGGAGGACATGCGAAGGAAGGGCTACTCAGAGCAGGACCTGGAAGCCATCCTGGACATCGTGCATCTGCACCACATCCTGCAGCGAGAGGGAGGTTGGGAGGCTATGTGTGACTGGAAGGACGTCCTGTCGGGTGGCGAGAAGCAAAGAATCGGCATGGCCCGCATGTTCTACCACAGGCCCAAGTACGCCCTCCTGGATGAATGCACCAGTGCCGTGAGCATCGATGTGGAAGGCAAGATCTTCCAGGCAGCCAAGGACGCGGGCATCGCCCTGCTCTCCATCACCCACCGGCCCTCCCTGTGGAAGTACCACACACACTTGCTACAGTTCGACGGGGAGGGTGGCTGGAAGTTCGAGAAGCTGGACTCGGCTGCTCGCCTGAGCCTGACAGAGGAGAAGCAGCGGCTGGAGCAGCAGCTGGCAGGCATTCCCAAGATGTAGCGGCGCCTCCAAGAGCTCTGCCAGATCCTGGGCGAGGCCATGGCCCCAGCACAGGTGCCGGCACCTAGCCCACAAGACCCTGGTGGCCTCCAGGGTGCCTCCACCTGACTCGGCCCTCCCCGGCCCCTGCCCCGCCCCCAAGCTCAGATCGTATGAAGGAGACAGCAGCACACACCTGTGCATGCACCCTGCCCCTGCATGCCTGGCCCCTCCTAGAAGACCCTTCCCGCCCTTGGGAAAGTAGATGTGGAGGGTGACGCCCTGCATAACCCCCACCCTGTCCCTCCCACTCCCTGGGGGGCTGTTCCACAGTGACTGGGCCCTGTCCAGGGCAGTGAGTCTTCTACTTTGCTCCGCGGAGGAAGCTGGGGCACGGGGGCCCAGTGCTGGCCACAGCAGCACAGCCGAGCCCCAGGAGCCACTCAGGCCACAGCCCCTGGTGCTGCAGGTGGCCTCCCTCCGGAGACTCGAGTCCCCATGATTCCCTCCTCGTCAGTCTCTCAAAGACCCCATGATCCCATCCCCTGAGGGTGGCCAGCCAAGGCTTCTGTCCCATGGGATGCCATAAAAGCCGCCCAGTGGGACCCATGGTCACACAGAGCCCCTCACCTGCATCCTCTCCCCCACAAGAGCCCTGAAGAGCCCACGGGAGGGGGACGCACAGCACTGCCTGCCGAGCGAGAATGTAGCCGCAGCCCCCTCAGCCTCTCACCTCTTCTTTCTACAGCCTAATTTATTGGATTCCCTATTCGTAGCCATCTCCATGGCCAATGTGACTACCCTGCCAGCAGCGGGGGTGGCCCAGCCTCTGAGTCCCATGGGGCCCTGGCTCCCACCGGTGCCAAACGCAGCCCCTGTGGCCGTCACCCCGCCAGCCTACACTTCCAGCCGCCACCGGAGCACACGGGCCTCTGCTTGCCAGCCAGGAGTGCGGACACCATGTTCCCAGCTCAGTGCCAAAGAGGGGTCACCAGGGGGAGCTGTCTATAGAGCCAGCACCTGCCCGAGAGACCCCACCGCCACCGTGTGCCTTTCCCAGGCCCTCAGCCCTCGGGCCGGGCGCCACCCCCAGTCCCCTCAGTAAAAGCCTCCATTGGCAAAAAAAAAAAAAAAAAAAAAAGATACATTCAAGTTGTTTCAGGCACAATAGTTCATTTCTTTTCATCACTGAGTAGTATTCCATTGTATAGATGTACCACAATTTCTTTATCACCTGCTGAAGTATCTCTGGGCTGTTTACAGCTTTTGGCAATTATGAATAAAGCTGCTTTAAATATTCACATGCAGATTTTGGCATGAACATAAGTCTTCATTTCTCTAGGGTAAATACCTAGGAAAGAGATGGCTGAGTCATGTGATAAGTGTATGTTTAATGATATAAGAAAGTGCCACACTATTTTCCAGAGCTGCTGTGTCATTTCGCATTTCCATTAGCAATGTGTGAGAGTTCCAGCTTTTCTACATCCTTGTCACGCTTGATATTGTCAGTACTGTTTATTTTAGCTATCTAATAAGTGTGTAGTGGTATTTCATCATAGCTTTAATTTGTATTTTTAATGGTTAATGGTGTCAAACATCTTTTCATAGGCACGTTTACCATTCCTATTATCCCTTTTGGCTCAAAGGCGATATAAGTGCAAATCTGTTCAGTTTTTATTAAGTGTATGTTTGTTTTGTTAATATTGAGTGTTGAGAGTTCTATGTATATTCTGGGTACAAGTCCTCTGTCTAATATATGACTTGCACATAGTTTTCCCAATCCATGGCTTATCTTTTCAATTTCTTAATGGTGTCTTTTGAAGCAAAAAAAAAAAAAATTCAATTTAATAAAGTCCAATTTATTTTTTCTTTTATGAGTCATGCTTTTGGTCTCATGTCTGAGAATGCTTTGCAGAAATGTCCATTTTGCTCCAAATTACAAAGATTTTCTCCTATGTTTCCTTCCAAAAGTTTCTATTGTAGCTGTCTGCAATAAAAGGACTAGGCAAAAATTATCAAGTATTTTCTCTGATATTCAATTGATGATACGGAATTTATAATAATTATAATACTAAATTATGTATTTTAGTTATTCTAACTTCTGTTAATTCCTTTTATATCAGTAAAATTTATAATAAAACATACATATACTTTATTACAAAGTATATACACCACACACACACATATGTGTGTGTGTGTGGTATGTGTGTGTATATATATACTTTTTCTGGAGAGCTGTTTATTAAACATTCGCCAACACAGCACTCTTCTGAGAGCACTACTGTGAGGTATACACTGGTGATTTTAAGCATAGATTTTGCATTTTGGCACAACTAGATTCTACTTCTATGGGCACTATTTACTGGTTGTTTAACTTCATGTGAGTTAAGCTTTCTAGACCATGGTTTAATTACATGTAAAGTAAGCAAATGGGCATAACACTGACTTTGCAGGTTGTTTTTGCAGATTAAATCATCTAATTTTTTGTGTAGGGCTTAGCACAATACCTGGAACACAACAAATTTTCAGTAAATGGCAATTAGTATGTATTTGACCATATTTCAAAACCTGATGTTTATAAATGATCCCATTAGGTTGTATAAGAAAGACTATGTTTGGTCAAATGTATTTTATTTAAAAAGATAAGAAAGAAAGCAATGTATTTTAGACTTAACCACTGCGATTTCAACTAATGTAGTTAAAATTAAAATTTAACTTAAGTACTTAAAAGAGTATACAGTATATAGAAGCTGCCTAGAAAAATCCCTTTGGCAAACAATTACAAATTACTTCTGTAGATTTTATGGTTCACAAAGTGTGTTCTAACAAACCAGCCTCATCAGCTCTCCACAACCAACAGAACCCAGTTGACCATAAGCATTTCTGCAGTTTCTGATCCAATCAGGAGATCTTTCTGTTTTATGGTAAACCATAAGTGACTTTTCCCTGCCTTAATACAGCAAATTAAAGCTGCCCTAGGACTTTTTGACCTCAAGGGAAGCTGACCGGCTCAAGGGAATTCTAAGGAACTCCTCTCCCTGCTGTCCTTATTAACCTGTAACCAGCAAGGGGGCTGCTTTTCCTGTTTGCCAATTGCCTTTGTACCAAAATGTTCCCTCCCCTCAGACACCCTCTGAGCCTCACTATAAAATGAGAACAAGATAACAGGAAGTGAGGAAAACTGGTTTGTGCTGTGGTCAACAACACAGAGGTTAATGTGTCACTAAAGGAAGTTTCAAAAAGACAACATTTAAGATAGTGCAGTTCTTCCCCATGGTTTAGAACAGTTTCAGGACTTTGTGCTAGTTGTTCTTATGCAGAAATACTTTCCTAACAGTCATGTGAAACAAATACATTGATGTATGGATTTGTTTGTATATGGATTTGAGTTTGTATGTGTTTGTATATACCGTATATACACAGATTATGTGTGTCTATGTTAAAAAGACATTTTAATGATGTTTCTTTTACATCAAACACAAAGGATACTCTATTTGATATGTGTGTTTACTAGAGAATATATTGAAAGATTACTTTGCCCCTGGGCAATAAAGGCTTAGCCAAGGCTTACTTCATTTTTGCTTATACCAAGTGTCTAAGAAAAAACTAGATTGACCTCTGGATGCTGTATATAGATTCTGGATATGATATAGTCAACTTTTATCTATAATAAACAGGATGTGAATTATGGAAAAAAATATTGTTTCTATTGGACTTTAGATATATAACTTGCTTGCCAGCAAATTGTCTGTTCTTCTTGCGGGCATCTTCCTCTGGTTATATAGTTACTGTCAATGACTAGCATTGAAAATAGACACCCAGAAACATTCAAGCAGTGCATGATACAGTGGGACAATGATCACTGAGGCAGTTTAGCTTTTATAAAACAGCAGAGAATTACATTAGCTTTTTAGGTGGTTAATAAATAATTGAATTTGTAGACAACTAAAACTTTCATGCTTTGGCATTGAAGTAAATAGCCCCAACATTACTTACATAACTGAGATTTTGATGCGAATGATAAACTTTCCTTCTATTCTGATTAAATTTAACTGTGTTAGTTTAAGCCCACTCCAGTAGCTTATTGAAATCACTTGAACCTCCATCCTGTCAATATTATTAATAGCTATATCTCTCAGTTTCGTGCCACCTCTAAATTGAATAATCATGTTTTAAAAGATGTTCATTATTTTTGTCTACTCAAAATCCCCCTTTTTTGTAACAAAACCTCAATGTTTTTTTGAGTACTATGTCTTCTCTTTATCCAGGTGGTTTGGGGGAGCTTATTTACCCCCCTGGCTCCATGAGTGGGTATATGATTTTGGCTTGACTAACCAGAACACTCCATCAACTTGGACACTGGTAATTGATTCAAGATTGAACACATATACCAATGCAGACAATAGGAGTCATCTCAGGGCTTCTGCTGGTAAAACTTTCCTTGTCTGAAGTTGCCAACCTGATGGAATGTAAGAATAGAGTCACGGAGCCATCCTTAATGCCATATGGAGATGGTTTTATAGCATAAAGCCAACAGAGAGGAAGCAGAGCCAAGAGAGGGTGAGAAAAGGACAACATTTTTATCACGTCGGTCAAGTTTCATAATCCAAGCTGTGCTTACAGCCTCACTTCTGACATTTTCTGGTTGAATTTCTGTCACTTGCAACTACAAGAGTCTTAACTCTTTTATTTTTCTCACTCAAGTAATTATTATAATGTTGAACTGGAAAAGAGTATAGCGCTCTTGGTCCAGGGAGCAATCCTCACTGAGATTCAATGATGGTTTTAATATTCTACCAGCTATGAACATATACCATCTGCCAGCTTCCATTTTTCTATCTTTTTGCAAGGGTATCATGAGAAACTCTTCCAAGGACCTTGATCAATGAATCACATACATGGTATCTAGTTGTCCAAAAACACTTTTTAAAAATGAAAGAGGCAAGTATGTCATGAATCCAACCTATTTTTCAATTGTTGAGGACAATTGCCAATTTTTTTGTGGCCTAGAATCCTGTTTTCTTTCCAAAATGCACACTGATTTCCTTTTAGAGAATGAACTGTAACCCTCTACTTCTGTAGGCTTGGCAGACAGGCAAACCCAGTTTCCTTCCTCAGACCGTGATGGCCCAAGAATCCAGAACCGCTTTTTATCTGCCCTGATAGAACAAGAGCACAGCTTGCGAATAGGCTTGGCCAATCAGAGCTTCTCCCCTGAGACTGAATTTTGAGTAGTCAACATTAGGATCAAGCATATGGTTGTCTGCTCTTTTTAATTATGGAGCACACACCAGCGTTTTCTTTCTACAAGATGGGCCTTCTAACTTTCTGATTCCTGTAAACTAACTGATAGATAAAATACTACTACTTGTTTTTCTAAGAGCTCATAAACCTGTTTAATAACCAAATCTAAAATTGTTCCAGGAATTTCTTTAATTCACTGGTTGCTCTAACCCATCGTTTTTTCTCCTTGAAAATGTGGAGACATTTTATCTTTCCTAGTATGTGGGAACCTCTTTAATTATTTATAATTTCCCAAAGACTGGTGACAGAGATTCTGAATACCACATGCAGCACTCTTATACTCCTGGATGGATTTCACTTGAAGATTTGAGTTTGTTAAAGAAATTTTATGATATCTTCCTGGGTTCTTCTCTAACTTTGCTTCAACTGACTTAGGATAATTTTATAAACCTTTTAAACTTTAGGTTATTATTATTTTTTTTTCAAGAAAAAGAAGAATAGAAAGGTAGGCTGGGCACGACGGCTTATGCCTTTAATTTCAGAAGTTTGGGAGGCCAAGGCAGGTGGATCACTTGAGCTCAGGAGTTTGAGACCAGCCCAGGCAACATGGTGAAACCCAATCTTTACCAAAAATACAAAAACTTAGCTGGGCATGGTGACATTCATTTATGGTCCCAGCTACTTGGGAGGCTGAGGTAGAAGGATCACTTGAGGCTGGGGGTGGAGGTAGCAGTGAGTTGTAATCATGCCACTGGGTGACAGAATGAGACTCCATCTTAAAAACAAAATAATAATAATAAAAAAAAAGAATAGAAAGGTTAGCTATTGCTCCAACCTGAAATAAAAGCTTTTGCCTCAGTCATACTGTGTTTATCACTGACTTATTTAACCTTGAGC